GTTGTTTTAATACTTGGGACTTGTTTTTCTTCTTGTTTGTACTGATGCTTTGACTTTTTTCTTATTTATATATTTTACTATATCTTTCTTTTTATATTGTTTTGTAGAACTTATTCCATATTATATCTACAGTACTCACTAGAAAGTTTTTTGTTTCTTTTAATAGCACTAATATATTTTGTACTCTTTCAACTACTTTTTCTTATAAAAGATCTTTGATAAGCTTCTTTTACACTTCTGTTTTTTTTTCTCTTGTTTGGCTCCAAATTGCTTCTTTTAGTTGTATTTGTGTAATGTTTTTTTTCTTGTTTTCTAATAGCTTACTTCATGCTACTGTTATTGCTAGCATTTTTGAAGGTTCTCATAAGCTAAACAGACTACTAAGTGATTTTGATCCTTTTCTTTTCCTTCTTTGCATACAATGCAGTCTAATTCTGTATATAGATTTGAATATCTTGTTGCTAGTTTTTTAAGTGTTGTTATTTTTTCTTATATATATTTGAAAAGTGTACTAAGTCTTTTACTTTCTCTAGTTGAACTGCATTTAACTTTATTCTAGTTCTTAATTTTTTTCTATAACAGCACCTAGCAGCATTGTTTTGGTTCTAACTTTTTAACTGCTAATGTGAAACTCCAATTTGTATTATTTTTAATATTAAAAACTTTTTTAATAAAGTTTTAAGTTGGATTTTCTACTACTATATTTTTTTAAAGAAATAATATATTGGATCTTGAAACTGACTCTACTATAATTTTATCTGGATCTAGCAGATTTGCTCCTTCTTTTGTAAAACATCTGCTTTATTATTTCATCTGTTATTGCTATGACTCTTTATTTTAACTAACTTTAATTCTAATTTTTTTGTTTTTATTATATTTTTTATATTTATAATTAGGTTGTAAATTTTTTTTTTATTCTTCTTTTGTTGGTTACAAATTAACTGTTATTGAATATTCTTGCTATGGCTGCTGCATTGTCTGTATGTATCTTAATTTTGCTTTTGCTTAGTACTATAAGAATTATATACCAAATAGCTAACAGTTCAGCTTTGGCTAAAGAAGGTTATTCTTTTACTCCAATAGCATCTTCATCAATTACATATTTCTTTTTATTGTCTACTTGCAACTAATCAGCTTTTATTTGAATCAGGTCTTGATTCTTTTTTTTTGTTTTTATTAATAACCTGTTTGTATAAAAAATTAGTTCTTTTTGTTTATTGTTCTCTTAAATATACTTATGTTTTTCTATAAGTAAGTTAACAAGTTTGTTACTAATCCTTTAATTTTTAATTATCTTAATCTTTCTGCTTTCTATTATAATTTCTTTTACATGCCTTTTTGTATCTAAAGCTTTATATTTCTTTTTTTGTGCTGTAATTTCAAACATATTTGTATTAATTTCCAACTATCAGATATCTTTTTTCCTTATGTATTTTGATAAAAAACTTTGAATTTTATCTTTTTTATACTTTTTTTTATAACTTTTAATAGAACTAAAATCATTGTGTAAACAATTTTTGCATTTTTCTAGCATAGTTTTTTGTTTTTCTGTTTGGAATTTTGCCTTCCAGTATTTGATTTGAAGTATCTTAGATGTTTTGGATACTATTCTTCTGATTACTAGTTTATCTTTTTTTGTGATATGGCTTATTGTTTATAAGAACCTCTTCTTTTTATTTTGTATTATCTAAGAGCTTGCCTACTTGTGCACTTATTCTTTATTTGTTTGAAGCTGTTACTTTAAATTTTTGCTTTACTATTCTACAACTTGGTTCTTCTATTTTTACAATTTACAAATTTTTAAACTAATTGACTAGTTTGCTTTTGACATTGTCTTTTTTAACTAGGTTTAGTTGTTATCATGTAATTATTTTGTTATCATCTTTGTTTACTAGCTGATGTATGAAAACAATTCCTAGTTTTTTCAATCTGTGTACAACTATTAGGATAAATTTTGTTCCTAGTACTTTATGCACTCTTGTACTTTTGTTATCATAAATTAAAGGTTCATAATTAAAACTAAAAGCTAACTATAGATCTTTTGCTCTTAGCATTGTTAGGCATACTAAATTGTTTTTCTATAGCTTAGCACTTGTCTTAAAGATATTATTTTGCTGAATACTTTTAGATGCTTCTATTAAATTAAAACTATCTTTTATTCTTATATTAGTTACTGACTCTTCTGTACCTATTGTGTTAAATTAATGATGCAGTCTAGTAATCTGTTTAAGCACTAATTAGTTCTATAATAAGTTAAGATTAACAAAATTTTTGTAATATATCATGCTATTTCTTACTAATCGTATGATCTTTATTTTTCTTTTTACTAACCTGACTATTAGCATATATATGTTCTCTAATATGTTTTTTGATAATTTTGTTGTTTATAGTATATAACACAACTTGGATATAATACATATGTTGTTGATATATAATATTTGGCTAACTGTAAGTTTTTTGTGATTTAGTCTCTATATATATGATCATACTATTTTTTTTAGCTCTTGATTTTATTGTTGATTCCTTTAGCTTGCAGTTTAGTCAAATTTCTAGAAACTATATTATCTTATTTTCATTTTTTTTCTAAATCTATTCTTTTTCAAAAAAAATTATTATTATTTTTTTTTTTGGTGTTTATTATAATCAACTTGGTCTTTTGGTCTTTTTTCTATTGATTTGTATATTATTTAAGTTGAAAAAGTTTTTTACTATTTTACTAGTTTTTTTTATTTAGCTTTTGCTTAATGTAACCTGTGTGATATCATCTGCAAAGGCTACTACAGTCAGTCTTTACTTTTTCTTTTTTTATATTAAAGAATCTGTATAGCTATTAAGTAAAGCATACAAAGAATAACCTAGATTTAGTTTATTCTGAATTCTTTCTAGAAATGGATTATAAAATATTTTTTACACTAAAGATAAAATTATTTCTTCTTGTTCAATTTCATCTTTGATTTCGAAGACTTCTGTTGTTCTTATATCTGTAATAATTCTTGATTATTATTTTTCAAAAAGATTTAAAATAAAGATAATTGTTATTTTTGGTATTTTAAGTCTTTTAAGTGTCAGGTTTGGTGCTACTAATAATACTGAGTCAAAAGCCTTTTTTATATCTTGCAATACTAGCCAAAGTTCTTTTTTATTATCTTTTTTTTTTTCTTTTTGATAATCTTATTGAGGTTATTCTTGTGTTCTATATTTTTAAACTAATGTTCTCAATGTTTTTTGGTTACTAGACCTTAACTTCTCCTAGTCTGTATTTTTTTAGACTTTTCAAAAACAATCTGTCATACTAATTCCTACTAGAATTAGAAGGTTTCACTAGGCTTTGTTCAGAACCAGCTATTGTTATATATTTATGTAATATATCTTATTGTCAGACTTTTAACTTTATATTACGTCTTTTAACTTTACTTATTTCAAATCAAGTTCTAATTCATGTTTATTACTAGATGATTTCTCAATCACAAATTATTTGCCTTTTCTAAAAATAAGTTCATCTGATGACATCCTAAGTTTCTGATACCATGATGTTGCAGTTTTCTATTTTTAGAAATACATCTTTACAATTGCTATCACTAGGATTTGAACTGGCAACCTTGCAATTTGTGATCTCAAAGCATAAACATTATGTTATTAATCCTAAAAGTCCAATATTAAGATATTTTTCTATATATTTATTAAATTATTATACATTTCAGAATACATTATCTAATTATAAAGCTTTAAATACTTTTTTGCTAACTAATTTATCTATTTTATAATTCTAATAATAAGAGTATACTTCTACAGAGTTCATTCAAATTTCAGTACCAACTTTACAGTATATCTTTAGTACTTTAGTATATTTTTGTTTTGTCTTCAAATTTCTATTTCAAATAGTTTTATAGAACTGTGACCTGTTTCTAATACATTGAGTTTAGCTTATCCTTTTTTTTTGATCTGATTCCAATAATCTAATTAGTGATATCTTCATCTAAAAATTCTTGTTTATCTGATTTTTTCTTATTGATATCTGTTTTTTAGATCTAATTTTTATAATAATACTGTTAAAGATCTGTATTATCTTTTTACTTAGATCTTTTCAAATAAGTTTTTTGTTTTTTCAATTCTATAAATTTATATAATCACAAAAACTTATCTTCAATTTGTATTATCTAATACTGGTTTGCATTTTCTAAATAACCAAGATTATATAACTGCTTTATAATTTGCCAATTATGCTAATATAACTATAGTTACAAATATCATATTTCAATTAATTGACAGAAAACAGTTGCTATAACACAAGTAATTATCCAAATAAAGAATTGATAATTTATCTACTTTACTAAGTTATTATACTCATTAATTTGGTTTAATTTTTTTTAAATTAATTAATTGCAAAATTATTAATTAAATAAGTTGTTAACTACCAATTTGAATTACTACTTTTAAAAATATCTAAACACAAAAAGTTTAAATAAATAACCTTTTAATTAGGTTATGAATATGACAACTAAGCATAAAACCTATAGGCAAACCGCTTAATTAAACAACCAATATTATACATATGGTTAGTTGTACTCTTCAAATATATAAATACCATTGTAGCAAAAACTAGTTACTTGATGTAACAGTTTAGCACACTGATTAAATTAAAGCAAAAATCAATTTAATATCAAAAAAAAAATAAAACAAATATTGTACTAATAAAAAATATAACATTTTTATTAGACACATCCCACACTATCCGAATACAATCTAAATTTAACCTATATAGTCAAGGGCAAATCATATACAAAGCAAGAATTATTATATTAATCAAATTATCAATTCATTTTATCGTATACTATGTTAGTGGTAATAAATCGCCTAATAACAATCTTTGATAGTTTGATACAATCCCTTGAATTTTTGCTAATATCCAAACTAACATAGGTTGGATATTTTCATTGTTTCGATTTTCTAAAAGTGCTTTTAAATTCCAAAATTATTATAATAAGTAATTATAAAACTGGTTAAATAGACCAAGTAATTAAATAACTGAAATATATATACATACAAGCAACCCATTGCTGTGTTTCAACTAATTCTTTTCCAAAATCTTCTGCCAATTCGCGTTCAGATAATGAATTAAGTATAGAATTTATACCAAATAATAATGATGATAAAATAGTTGGATCATCATTATATCTTAAAGATAATAGTAAATCCCAAAATTCTCTGTCAATTTGTATAAGATCGACAGTATTTGCTTATAAAAAAAGAACAAATAAATTATGTGAAAAAGTAAATTTAACTCTTTTACAGGAAGTTAAAGAATACTCACTAGAGCACTGAACAAAAACAGCCAATGTTACCACATATCTATGCACTAGTACAGGTTCATATAAGATCCCATTTTGATCGCTAGAAAGTATACATACTTAATTACTTATAGAAAAAAGGATAATATTTAATAAACAATGTACCAACCGGTTGCGAGACCATATCCAAAACCCTGCTAGTAATGGGAAGAAAAAAGTTTTTGCAGCTATTTCGTAAAATTTATTCTTCTTTGTTGAATTAAGACGTGCATATTCCACTTTTGGTCTTCGAGACAACCAACGTACTTTATCAGATGTTGGTTTACTTCGGGCATTTTTTGTTATTAAGCTAAGATCATTTGTTGACTGAACAATTAAATCTACAGATGAAATTTCTTTTTTGGCAGATATATCCTTTATATATAAATAAAAAAAAATGTAAGAAACTTAAAACAATTTACAAAATTTCTTCAACAAAATAAAAAAACCTCTTCTATTTGTAGTCCGGATAATTCTTTTGCGGCTAATGATAATGCAGACAAGATCATGAGCTTGTCGGATAATGAGTATCGCGTTTCGAAGAATTGTTGAATGATGAATCTAAAGTTCAACAATACTTAATAATGATTGGGAACGTGCAAAAAGTGTAAAATATGGGGGGAGTCAATAGAAAAGGGACAAATTTTTTCTAAGTAAAAGTTTTTTTGACTTTAAGCTTAAATATCTCAACAACTATTTTATTAAATTTGATAATTTTTTATTTATTTTAATTCTATATAATTTCAAGATTAAAATAAAAAATTTTTTAGCAGATTTAATTAAATAGTTGTTGAGTTATTTAAATTTAAAAATTTAAAAAATTTCACTAAAAATGATTTGTCCCTTTTCTATTGACTCCCCCCCATATAGCCACTGCGTGGATTGAATAATATACATACGGTACGGTGATCTTTGGACTTCCACATACAAGAGCGACCAATGCGGCTTGTCTATTTTCTTCAAACTCTTTAAGTTCGAAATTATCACGTAAATTAATAAGTATTCTTGCTAATTCAGCAGCATGGTCATCTTTAATACGAGTAAATTTCAATCCGCGTTAGTGTAATCAAGATCAAAAATTAAGAGTTTACTTTTAATAACGTACAAACCCAATTCCATCCCAAAACCCGTTTTATTTCTAATTAGTTTTGCGGCAGTATTCATCGCTATTTCCATCTTATCGGAATCATCAGAAGATTTTAGGTATGATAGTAAATCAATTATGTATCTGAAGAGATGAAAAAAAAATAAGAAGCTGTCGAGAAAATGAGGAATGATAGTAAAGTTACTTTACATACACCGGAGAAAGGATTTTCTTTTTTTTTATTTGTGGTTCACATTTATCATCATCATTTTCACTTTCTTCTTCCATCGGATATGGTTCGAATTCGTCATCATCATCAGAATCCGCAGGTTGAGAATCGACATTTTCTGCAACGTTGAAAAGATCAATTTATACATTAAATTATTCAACGATATATATATATGTATATCTTACCAATTGTAGATACGTTGTTGATAGGAATTTCAATATTATAATTTTTCTCAGAGGAATCTACAATTTGATCAGATTTTGATATTATTTCTTCTTGATCTATTTGAATAAAATTGGATGTTAAATATGATTAAAAATATATGATCGAAAGAAATTAAGAATTTAAATTACAAACCTTCAACAACATCATCGTTTTCAAAATCTGGCAGATCCAAAAGCCCGTCCTTAACTTCTACTAATTGCCTTAAATGCCTTACTTCTTCCTCTTCAGAATTTAGTTCAAAATCTAACACATTTCCAGTTTCATCAGTTAATCTTGAAAGCATTTCTGCAGTAACCTACATTAAGATATAACCATCATATTATGTTATTCATATATTTATCCGCTTCAAAATATGCAAGAATGTTACATTACCATTCCTAGTTTTCGCGACTCTTCGAATGAATTTTGTAACCACCGAGACACACCGGAAATAATATCTCTAGTGGTTCCTGCATCAATTAGAGTATCTTTGGGAATGTAACCGAATAATATAAGAATTGCACTTGTTATATCTAAACATAAGGTACATAAATTATTAATAAAGTTCACTCTAGATTTCACATTAAAATGTGACGTACATTTTTGATCACTAATGGACCCATGTTTAACGAATGTTGGATCAGACCAAAACGATATAAGATTTTTGAGTACATTAATAAGATCTATTGATAAATGAAAATAAAACCTTGTATAAGGATTCGGATCGAATAATAGCTACATTATAAAAGCTTTTACAAACCATCATATATTAATGAATTTAAGCTGTTATCACCACTTTTCTCTTTCTCTTTCTGAAGTCCTCTCCAATACAAAAAGCAGCATAAAACTCTTAAAATGGTTACAGAAAATGATTTCCCACCCACAAAATATTTATATTTAATTAAAAACAATACAGATTCATTATTTCTATTTCCAATTAATAACATTAATATTTTAGCAATTTTACGAATCAAATATCGGGAATGATTCTCAATGGAGACTGGGGTGGGAACTTTTGAAAGATCACAATTTTGTGCATGAAGTAATAAGGAGGTGAGAAATGACTCTAGCATATGTGGAGAAAACGATGCGGTCACTCGATGCCAAATATCTTGATAGGTTTTATTAACGGAAGGGTGAAGACGTTTCACTAGTAGATGGTAAATCGCCTGAACAAGGGATTCTTTAATTTTCCAGGGAAAACATTTTAAGTTGCCTTAAAAAAAGTACGCAATATTCAAAAACAAAATATACAATCGGTATTAACGCACTTGAATGGCCAATCCTACACATCTTTGAGAATAGTTCACTGAATGCAAACACCACCATTTCAATCGCATTCTCTATTAATTGTTTAAATCAAAATGAATCAGTTGAAAACTTTCTCCTGATCATTATGATTTTGGTATCACTCAAAAAATTATAAACATGCCTTTAATTCTCTCGCACCTATCAAATATTAAACTTTCACTATCAACTGAAAGTTTTCTAAAAAACTTTCTATCAGGAGAAAAGAAATTTTTTGGCGAGAAGCACATTTAAAATATTAAAGATAATTCAAGAATTCGGTTAATTTTATCTAAACTTGTAATTATCTAATAGGATACACGTCACTTAGAAAATCATCGTCTTCTAGCAATCTTGAATTATAGATTTGATTTTGATTCAAGGCCATTAAATTTGCAGCTTTTTCTGGTATAGAACAAACAAGGCACACAAATTCTTTCCAGTATAAAAATCTTTCATTGAAATTAATATCCTCATTATCCAAAATAGCATCAAAAAAATCACTCATAGAGTATGTATTAAGAAGTGAGATTAAAAGTTTTTTTATTATCATCAGCAAATGGGCTTGCTGTCGCTGCTCAAGTTGAGAATTGGTTTGATGAGAAACAGAAAAATGGGATACAAGGATCTGTAAAGAAATGGATGCTCTCATTTTTTTTTGCAAATTTTTTTCGCCTGAAGGAACAAAGTACTCAGTGACTAGCATTTGCTGTTGCGATCGAGTGAGGATCTCAAACCAATTGATTATAATATTTTCAAGTATAAAACTTAGATGTTTTGAGTAGAGTTTTGTAAGAAAATGTTTATGCAATTGTCGATTTGGAAAAGGACCTTTCCAATTTTTATTTTCAAGAAAATCTAGCGGTCCACGTAGAAATTCAGACACAATTTCTACTGAACAGCTGGAAGATTTAATCTCATTCTGAAGTGAAGATAAATAGCTACGTAACTGATTTTCCGAGAAGGTATTATCTAGCATTTTGAAAAGCTATGTATCTACCGCTAGAGAATAAATTGATAAATATAGTGCAGTTTGGATATTTATAATTTTGCTAGAGTCATGTGACACATCAAAGATGCACAGTAGTACAATATATAATATATATAAAGGGACTATATTATGATCACTCTCGTTACCGTTATGTAGTTAAACGATGAATATTCACCGAATACCAATTTATGCAAGTATTTATCGATTAAGATCAGTATTTTTACAAAAATCACTAAACTATAACGATAATGCGATACAATTATCGTATAGTCATAATCGTTATAGACAAAATGACAAAAACATAGTGTCATTATACAACCGCAAGTTCACAGTTTGGTCTAACCAAGAAGAGTTATCTCGTTTTTCGTGGAAAACAGCGTTGCTTGTATTTTTTGGAGTTCCAATTACGGTATACTTATATAAGGTTGTTTGAAAATGATTTTAATATATTTAAAATTTGACTGGCCGATTTTCTTTTTATCACTAAGAATTAATTATTTTTAATGGTAAAAAATTGTCTTAATTATATCCATTTCCAGTGTACAATGTTAGTGTTGTTTCAAAATAAATTGATATACATGCCATTCCTTCCCTTTGGAACCCGTAATCTTACACTTGAAGAGGCACATATTGATAAACGTTTGGAGTGTAAACAAGTCACAGTTGAAACTCGTGACAAATGCAAACTAGCTGGAATTATTGTTAAAAATGATGATAATACGATTATAGATGATCACGAACCAATCATAATCTATTTTCAAGGGTAAAAAAAAATCACTATCACCATTATTTGGTTTTAACTAATTCTTATAAATCTTTTTTTTTTTATATGGTTAGTAATGCTGGGAATATGCTTTTCCGCATACCAATATTTTCCAAATTGATATTACATTCATCCAATATAGTAAAAAGGGTACAAATAGTTGCAGTAGGTTATAGAGGTTACTGGTTCTCAACAGGATCACCATCCGAAAAAGGACTTCAAATTGATGCTTTGGCAATTTACGAGTTTGTTCGTAGACTTTATCCAAAGAATCCAATATATATTTACGGACATTCATTAGGAGGAGCAGTTGCACTATATCTAGCATCTAATGAAAAGATTCAGAAAGATTTGAAAGGAATTATAATTGAGAATGCGTTTACATCTATCAAAGATATGGTTACCACAATATATCCACAGAAATGGCTTCCTTATAAATATTTAGTAAACATCCCACTTTTAAATCGCAACAAATGGGATAATTATCGCGTGATTCAAGGGATCAAAATACCTATTTTATTTTTGTCATCGCGAAATGATGAGATAGTACCACAAGAACAAATGATAGAATTACATAAGATGGCTAAAATAAGCAAAAAGAAGGTATGGGTAGAATTTAAGAACGCATTACATGAGGATATTTTTTCTCATAAGGGATTTGTCGAAGCAATTAAGGTTTTTATAAATGAAACAATATCGGATATCAGATCAAGGTGAAAAAAATCTCATTGTCACGTGATAGTTTCTATAACATAGTCAATACTATGCATTTTTTATAGATCATACTATTGTCTCTAATTACTATATCTGTAAGATTTTGTATGACCTGATATTGATATAAATGTAAGTCAATACTGTGCCGGTACCAGTAACTTTTGATACCGATATGTATGGACAATCCTTTGTTAATTAAATATATGATATATGCTTGTAATTAAAAATACTCGAAATTAAAAAATACTCATACTCTCTGAGGAGCTGAATTCCAGAATAAAATTTAGTTATTCATAATGTTTATAATGTTTATTACATACATTAAAAACAAAATTATACATATCTTTTTGTAATTTTTAATAATGTTTAATATTGGTGATAGTGGTACTATAATATGCTGGGGTATTCTGGTGTATCATTCTATGGTGTTCCCCATTACTTACGTAAAAGCCGACTTCTTAATATACTACTAGCAAGAAAATAATTGTTAAAAAGGTTTATCTGTATTTTTTTGTTTTTTTTTTTTTAAAAAAAAACAAGGAACTATTGGGACATACATATATATATAGGTATATATGCATTAAACATAACTAACCTATTGCTGTACAAATACTTTTTTTTCTATTTTAAAAAGCAAACTAACCAAAAGTCGGTAACTATTTAAAAAGGACCGATTGGTCTCCGGAATTATTGTTAGATAACCGTGGTGAAACTTTGAATATTACATCCGATGCATTAAGCGTAAGTCGTATGTATGTACATACATGCGTACCTCAAAAATTCACGCATTTATGCTTCACGCAAATTTTATCAGGAAGCAATTAGTACAAAAGTGACATTTTTATTTGTTGAAAATATTTAATTTTAAGCTTACCAAAGAAAGTAATCAAATATCTATTTGACGGTAATATTTTCTAAATCTGTATCATGAATTACAAAAGCACATTCATTCTTGGGTGTGGTTGTTTTTTTTGTTTACCACTAATTTCCTCTAATTTAAGCAATTTAAGCTGTGTTTTATGGTGTATTACGTTCTATAAAGTAATAACCTTAAGAATATCTATAAAGTGTATATTTTATTAGACGATTAATTTACCTTGAAATTCTTCAAAGCTTCTAAAAATTGGTGTTTGAAACTTTATATATTTATATGTTTATATTTGCAATATCTGGTTGTATCACCGACCTATCAAATAACAATGACGTATACTTACTTGGCTAATTAGCCAATGGCTGTTGTTTGATATTTTTATATTTAAGTAGATAGTTGTCTTACAAGCAACTCGTCATTTTTCGATTTTCCCAATTTACTACTTTTGATAAAAATTTACTTAATTATGGATCCTTTTTTTTCCAATGCTGTTTTTTCATTAAACGATTCTAATTTTCCTTGGGATTATACTTCTATTGAAGACAATGCTGAAGCACAGAAACTTTTAGCTGCTGCTATAGCACATAACGATCAGTACAGATTCGACGAGGACCAGAAACGAAAATTGGAAATGCTTGAAGACGCTGCTCAACAAACCCCTTCTAAAGCTAGTCGTATGTATCATGATTGATTTTATTCATTTATAAATATTTCTTGACTTCCTTTTATTAAATTTACAAATTGTAAAAATTACTTTTTTTTTTTTAGATAAGCTAAACATTAATTCCGTTCCACATCCAGATCTTGATGCTGAAAGTAAGCACCATTCTGAATTTAAATGATCATCTTTTATCCATAAAATATTAATTTTATATATTGCTAAAAAAAAAATTAGCGGAAAGTATTCCGTCCCCGCCGGATAATACACAGTTAGAACAATCTAATGAACCACAGAAAAAAAAGCCAGGTAGAAAACCTTTAACAAATACACCTAGTAATGTATGTATATTGCATTATGTAAATATTATTTTTAAACCTTAAATTAAACTTCTATTATTTTATTATTTTATTAGAAACGTAAAGCTCAAAACAGAGCTGCTCAACGTGCATTCCGAGAACGTAAGGAACGTTATGTAAAAGAACTTGAAACTAAAATTGAAGAACTTGAGTCTCTGTCCGCAAAAAGTGCTCAAGAAAATCAGCAGTTAAAGACGCTTGTTGAACAACTACAAGCTGAAAACTATTTATTGAAACAAACTAGCTTTACTTTTGATTTTCCTTTACCAAAGTCAAACGAATCTACTGTTGCTATTGACAAAGATATCAATGATCTAGTCATACCTTCAGGAACAAAATCTATATCTTCACCTTCTGTTCCTCCTTCTAACGCTAGTGATCCTTACACTCCTCCATCTTCAAATTCAAGTGATGATGAACCAAGTTCTCCTAATTCTGTTTCAGATCAAAACATTAATACCACTGTTTCATCATCTAATGATTCATCTCAAGCACCATCATCTAACATCGATAAGTTGAACTTACCAGTTAAACAATCTGGTTCTGTTTCAACATCATCTCATTCTACTAAACCCCAAAATGCTGAAGAATTTTGTGAAAAGTTCACTGATGGTATGTGTCAAGAAAATAATGAATACAGTTCGGTCTTTGACATCACAGGTTCCTCGAACGGTGCTACCGATTTAAACAGGTCATCGTCGGCGTTCACGGAATATCGTGATCCAACTCCTTTCACTCCAAACATAGACAATCCTTTTTCTGAGTCGGCGCCATTACCGCCGCTCTTTGAAGATAATTTTCAAGATTTTGGCAGTTTTGCTCCAATGGCTACTCCAACTGATGAAAATAAAAATCCTATTCATGTCCATTTTCCAAATAAGCACGAATTTGCTTCTTTGGACGACATTCGAAGTAAAAAATTTTTGTCTTGTAATAAAGTATGGGAAAGAATTCAACAACATCCAAAGTTCGATGATCTTGAAGGTGATGAAATTGATCAATTATGTGCTGAGCTTAAATCTAAAGCAAAATGTTCCGGAAAAGGTCCAGTTGTACCTGAAGAAGATGTAGAAGCTGTTTTGATCAAATTAGAGGACAAATAATTTTGTTATGCATCGTTTTATTGATTCTTATCAATTCGTGTCATTTACGAATCTAAGAATAACGTTTGTCGCTTTGGGATCGGAAATTTTACCGATTAATGAATATTCATTTTTATGTATCGATATGCAGTATTTATTAAAAAAATAAATGTAAATATATAAAAACAAAATCAATTGCTAAAAGCTTTAAAGTATATATTTTATATATTTATAATAAACACTAAACATTTTCTCAAAAAAAAATAATTAAGTGCGATCATTACTACTATACTATCATTTAATATGAAAATAAGATTTTGTACGAATTATCTATCGATTTTTGTAATGATCGCGTAATATGCAGGGTAACGGAAGATTTACAGTTAAGAAACCAAACTTTTAAAACTTACTACAAGAATATTATGTATATGTGGTAGTTTTAGAGTCGTTTGTACAGTATCAGAAGTATGAAAGGTAGATTGATTTGTGGAATTTTGTAATTGTAATTTCTTTTATTATTTTGATATTTGTAATATTGATA